CAAAGGACATAGTGTTCCTTGACCGATTACACTTAGGTGTTGATAGTGATGAGGAGGAGGCGGATGAAGATTTGGACATGGTTGATAGCGATGACGATATGTACAATCCAGCTAATCCCGATCGTGGAGATCGTTTCTAATACATGTAATATTATCTGTTTTTGTAATTATATTCATTTTGCATGTAATTATCTTCATTTTGCATCTCTTTCTAATTATGTATCGTTTATATATGCTAATTGTTTTGTTCTTTTTAATGCAGGAGATGCCACCTAGGAGGTCCGTCCAGTCTCTTTACGCCAGCCAGGAGGAGCCAGAGGCGTCGGTTCATCCTTCGGAGCCGGTGCCGAGGTGGAGGAGCCGCAGGCGTCCGAGCAGGACGCAGCCGACTACCCCTCCGGCCGTGGAGGAGACTGCAGCCGTGGAGGAGCCTGCCGCCGTGATGGAGCATGCGGATGCAGGGGGTCCTCCTCCACCTCAGGGGACAAGGCGACTGTAGGGGACGAGGCGACTGCAGGGGGATCCACTTCCTCTGGTGTGTCGACGGTGTACTTGCGTGGTCCCGCGAAGCTCCCGCGTCGACCAATACCTGAAGCGGCCCGCCCGCTAATCACACCCTATGGGGATAGGTAAGTAACTTAAGATGTGCTCGAAACTTCTTCATTTGAAATGTTGAAAATCAAAATACAAACTAATACTTTTTGTAATCACTTGTGCAGGAACTAGAAACTTGTGGAGACTGGAGCCAAGGCACGCAAAGTGAATGGCATCCTAGGAGGTATGTGCAGGGAGCACTACCCTGGCCTGGTGGAGGTGAGCCCGGACATGTTCGAGCCGGCCACTCAGTTCGACCACTACGAATTGGTCGCCGATGCCATGGATCGAGTGGCCATGATCTGAGGAACAAGGCGGAGCGGGTCGTTAGGGACACTGCCGGTAGAAGTCTTTCAGGCACACATTGTATTCTTTTAGCCACAGATACATCGTATTCATTGGGCATTCTTCTAATAAGTAATTGATACCTCGTGCCTTTATGTAGGATTTCTTTAGAATCGAGGAGGGCAAGGAGCATTGTATGCGTGCCGGTGGTGGTCGCTTCTTGTAAGAAGCAGCGGCCACGGACATGATTCACGACACGCGTCATCAAAGCGCACATTTGGCACTACTGCGAAGGTCAAAGGGCGTAGCATCAAAAGGACGAGGCAAGGCAGTGTGGTGCTGATTAAGGAGGAGTACCTTGCGGTAAATACGGAACATTACTATTGATTTCTTCTGAGATTAAGTTTCCTTAATTTGATCTTCTAATATATCGTTTGCTTGATGGCCTGTAGGCGATTCCAAACTGGTGCAATCGGCATCCGGATGCCTAGGAGAGGATTGTGGACATGTGGCTCAGCCAGGACTGGAAGAAGGAGCATGATGAAGCACGCGAGCGTCGTTTGCTGATGCAAGGAGTACCACACCATCAAGGCAGCCGCAACCTCTCCGAATTCTCAGAAGCTTGGGTAAGGCGAAACCATTTCTCTAACCTAACACTCAATTCTGCAACAACTCTAACAATGTTATTGTCTTTCTCGCAGTCGGCGTCACATGGTGGCCGCCCTTGTGGTCACCTCAAGGCATATGCCTTGTCCCACTTGGGCAAGGCGACGGCCGCCACCGACTGGACCCCGGAAGTCCCTACCGAGTCGTTCACCAACGCCAGCATTGCCCCTCGCATCTCTGCGTACACAAAGATGGCAAGGTCAGTCCACGGGCCAGACTACGACCCGACCACCGAGGAGCGGCTTGATCCAGAGCTCGTGATGAGGGTGGGGCAAGGCAAGAAGCACGGGCGGTTCAAGCTTAGCGACGGTGTCCTCGACACGACCTCTGTTCCTCCGCTGCACTAGATCCGAGCAGCGAGCACGAGCTCAATGCCAGCCATACGCCAGCGCCCGACCGTGGTGTCGACACTCCAGGTAAGTGTTCTCTTCCATTCCTAGTTCTTTGACTTTTACATACCTTAGCTCCGCAATCTTGAAACATTGGCGTCAAATGTTGCATGCACAGCTGCAGGCGATGGAGGCCGAGCGGGAGCTCGAGCGGCAGAGGCTGGCAACTTTAGAGGCCAAGCAGGAGCAAGATCAGCGGCAGCTGGCAGAGGTGCTCTCCTACGTGCGGGGTTTGCGATGACCCAAGGTGGAATGGTCCCACAGTTCCTGCCCAGTCAGCTACAGGCTACACCTCTACCTCAGCTTGATTCTACTCCGATGAGTATGACAAATGTTTTAGTTTCTCTAAATGTCAAACCTAGTGAAACCTAGTAAAACCTAGTGAAACCTAGTGCTAGTGGTGATGGTGGTGGGTGGTGGTGGCGGCGTGGTTGGTGGTGGTGGTGGCGTGGTCGTGGTGGTGGCTGCGTGGTTGGTGGAGGTGGTGGCGTGGTGGTGTGGTTGTTGTTGGTGGTAGTAGTGGTGTGGTTGTGGTGGCGTGGTGGTGGCATGGTGGTGTGCTTGTTGGTGGTGGTAGTAGTATTGTGGTGGTGGTGGTGGTGTGGTCGTGGTGGTGGTGTCGCGTGGTTGGTGGTGGTGGTGGTAAAAAGTACATGTAGTGCTTGGTTATCTATTTATATTGTCTAACACGTTCTGCATCTTCTTTGTTTGTGTAGCGTCAGTCGGCGGCGTCGAACGACCCTAACCTTCTCCTCGTCAACTCCCCAGGATCGCATGCGGCGCCTTCTCAGCCCGGACCATCGTCGTGACCAGTTTGGCGCCTCCTATGCCTCTTGTTTATGTTGCTTGTCGAACTTTACACTTGTGGTTGTCTATGTGTCGAGATTTGTTTGTGACTTCGAACTTCGAGACTTCTATGTGATGTGGATGTGAATTATGTGATGTGGATGTGGTTATTGATATGTGGATGTGCTTATTGTGATGTGGATGTCATATATATGTTTATTTGTTGACTGGAAATGCAAAAAAAAATTAAAACTGGTTGTGGCTTTGCCGAGGGCTATGGTCATGCCCTCGGCAAAGCTGGGAATTCTGGAACACACAGAATCCTAGCTTTGCCGAGCGCATGACCATAGCGCTCGGCAAAGAGGAAGCCTTTGCCGAGAGCTGAGCCATAGCTCTTGGCAAAAAAATGTCTAAAAAAAATTGTCAATATTCTTTGCTGAGAGCTCTTCTGACAGACGCTCGGTAAAGTTTTTTGGGAAAAAAAATTCAGAAATTCTTTGCCGAGAGCTTGCTAAGGCTCTCGGCAAAGATCAACTTTACCGTGACCTCTCGCCGTCACGGCGAAAATTTTTGCCGACGGCCGGCTAACCCTCGGCAAATCCTTTGCCGAGAGCCTGAGATGCGGCTCTCGGCAAAGTAGCCTTTGCCATGAGGTACTGTGCCGACCGGCCTTTGCCGAGAGCAACTCTCGGCAAAGCCTTTGCCGAGGGCAAAGGCTTCTTTGCCGAGCGTATCCGGCCCTCGGCAAAGAACCTCGTTCCAGTTGTGCTAGATGGCCATGATATCACCACAGATGCGCATGAATAGGATGGATCCAGCGAAAAGACCAAGAGCCTTTGCTATCTTCTGTACAAGCAAAAGAAGATGAAAGAAAACAGAGCATTAGTAATTATAGAGTTTCTCAGTAAAAAAGAACAACCACAAACATGAAAATAAAATTCAGGTTTATTTAGTTGACAAATGGGTTATATGGCAGAAACAAAAATAACCATGGTTTTCTGCAACAATGATGATAGATGAATAGAACCTATATTTTTTGTAATTTATACTACAACCAAGATCTATTTCTATTTGATTAAGAAATGGGTTATGTCCAGATACCACCTTCACCGAGGTGAAGGGAAAGCTGGGGAGCTAGTCCCACACAGGAGAATAGAATGGGAGTGGATACTAAACATAGCGTTTTGAGAATGAAAGGGAGAAAGAGCATTCCCTTGCCCTTGAGTTCTATTTACAGAGGAGATGGGAGAATGCATCTTCCTCCCTTATGGTTTATGAATTTACATGAAGGTCCTTAAATTTATTATTAGATGTTGGGCCGTTTTACATGGAGGGAGGTTGGCACAACCGCCCCTACCCCCAACACCAAGGTCTGTTTCATTGAGAAATGGGTTATGTGCCAAAAGCAAAGATAACCAGGGTTTTCTGCTGTTACTGATGTATATATAAAAAAACCTATATTAAAAGAGTCGCTCCCACACCAAGGTGAGCTTGATTTAAGTCAATTCATTGGCATATGAGAGAGACACCTGAACCCAAGGAGCTGCAGAAATAGCAAATCCAGGAAGGCACAAGTTAATAAGCTAGAGCTCACTCTACACGCAACCCAACAGTATACTAGTTCACACAACATTTATTTAATATATCACCCCTAAAAGATACACAAAAGGGCAGACTGTCACCTTACAAATATCCAAGTACATAAAATATAGAGCCTCAATGTTGAAAGTAAGGAACTCCAAAACAAGGGGGGGTCGTCCAGAGAACGGAGCTTGTGTTAATTTGATCCATGACACTAACAACAAACACATTAACCACGAACACGAACTGCAGCAACTTAATTCCGTCAATTTCCTCAATAACCTAATTACGTTCCAGGACTGTCACATACACAAGAAATTTTCCAATAAGGATCGACTTTACATCAAAGCAGAATCTAAGATGACTATCTGTGCAAGCAAATTAGTGAGACAACTATACTCAGCAATCAGTTTGCACAACTAATATACAGCAGATATGCAGGAGAAATAAAACAAGAAGTCTAAGACAACTCAATCCTAGTCTTTTACCAACAAAGGCAGGGAGATCAGTCGCCTCTCGTCTTAATTAAGCGTGCTCCCCAACGTTGCAGATTATATTAAACCAAAAAACTTCTACAATCTACCATTGCCACCCCCCAAGTTCACAATTGCGACGGCATCGCGAACCGTGAATCGTTGGTACAAAGTCAAGAATTAAGGCCAAGTGCGACAAAAAAAAAAGGTGTGAGATGAGGGGCGCTCACGTTGTTTTGGGCCCTCTTCCCTCTCGTCGTAGAGCTGAGAGTACAGGAACACGGTGACCTTGTCCCACGCCTCCGCCACCGCCGCAGCTGGCCCCGCCATGATCCCGCTCTCCGATCGCCCTCCGCCTCTTCTCCGGTGGGTTCTTGTAGGGTTTTGTTTTCGCCCCTGCCGATGAGTTCTTTCTTGCGCTAAGTTGCGTCGAGCGGCGGCGGCTGCGAGTTAAAAAGCGGTCGAGAGGACTCGAGGTAGAGCGGTTGACCGTCTCCGGCACGAGAAGATCGGTAAGCACCGCCAACGCCGCCGCCATTTCCTAGGTATATACGCCTCTCGTTGTTGAGTGTCAAGGACGGCGCGGTTGACGACGGGGAGCGCGCGTGCGTGCAGGGCACGACGACGACGGTGTTCCCGCGCGCTGGGCGAGCCGGGCCCGCGGGCGGCGACGACGAGCGGCGGCAAGAAGGCGCCGGTGAAGCTGCTGACGAACGTGGAGAAGCTGCGGCTGCTGACGAAGGCGGAGCGCGCGGGCCTGCTGTCGGCGGCGGAGCGCGCGGGGCTGTCGCTGTCGGCGGTGAAGCGGCTGGGCCTGCTGTCCAAGGCGGAGGAGCTGGGCGCGCTGTCGGCGGCCGCGGACCCGGGCACGCCGGGGGCGCTGCTGGCGCTCGCGCTCCCGCTGCTGGTCGCGGGCCCCGCCGTCGTGTACCTCGTCCCCGAGGAGCACCGCCGCCGTCGCCGCGTCCACGTTCGTGTCCAGGCTGCAGGGCTCCTCCAGCTGACCAACGCGTTTGCATCTGCAGCCGGATTAGCAGGGCATTGCTCTATATATGATTGTAACATGATTTTGTGTGGATTCTGTGCTCCTGTCAGGATAAATGGGATGGATATGTAGCTGTGAGAGTGTGAGACACGCACCGTACGTGCACATTATTATTTGTAGCGAGCTGAAGAGGTGATTGTGTCAAGCCTTGCTTTGCCAACAAAGGAGAACACGATGGTAGAGTGAGGGTATTCTTCTTTCTTGGGGAAATACCTTGCCTCACCTTGCATGGCAAGGTGTCGGTGTGTTGGGTAGTCTTAGAGCAGTCCCAACCAAAGCGACAGCGTGTCTAGCGGTCTCAACCTCCACGTTTACATGCATGTTCCACATCACGCCGAGTGATGATCTCCGCTGAGTGGCGATCTCACAACGTGTGGGCGGCCTTCCCCAACGCTCCAAGTTGGCCACTAGCCTCAGCCACCACGGTTGCAACAGTGGTCCAAATCAGATTGGGTAGTGGTTTCGCAGGTTGGTATAGCAGCTTGCAGATGCAACAGTTGCTTGCTCCGACAATAAGGTTGAAACCACCACTCAAGAGCGCGTTGGGGGCACAAAAAGCAAACTATACTAGGAAAAAGAAACGTACTAAAGCTGCAACAAAAATTGTAAACCTGCAGAGCTTATGACGTAACAAGACTAGTATGCGATGTAAGATTAATGGCTTCAAAACTCATGTATCTATATGGCTTGTCACTTTATTCTAAGACTAACGTTACTGTTAGCCTACGCTATGGTTGCCCTTACAAAGACACTGAAAACTCCGTCTGACATAAAGATGAAGCTCCCAACAACACATAAAATACAAGATTTATTCAACGTTTGGGTAGCGCTACAGTCAAAGGGTTCAATACCCATTCGAAATCCTCTCCAACAACATGACCCAAAAGAGAATTCTTTCTGCAAATGGGGTTTTCAGGAGAGAGGATACTCATATTTGGGTTGTGCCTCCTAGACAACCCAAAATGGGTCTCTCATATAGGTACTCTGTCGAAGGCTAATTTTGGATCTCCTGCTATCCATTTTGAGTTTGAGTGCCCATATATAGGTCACCTGTTGGAGACAGTCTTAGGGCGGCCCCAACAAGCTATCAAAATAAGTAGAGCAGCAATTTTTTATACTATCCATGGGTGAGAGCAGCAGAAGAATTAGAGTAGAAAAAAAAGGCTAGACTCACATGACTTTCCATAAATATTGCGTCTATTTCTCTCTCTTCCATATATGCTATGCACCTTGAGTTTTTTACTTTTTATTTGATCGGGTGTCCAAGTCGTCTAGACTAGCTATTTGGTCAAAGGTTGTGGCCGCCTTTACCCCCGCGGTGGAGAGGAGATGGGTCATCTCGGGACCAAAGTTACATGATCGTGCGTCATTTCAGGATGGAACTTTTCAGTGGGAAGATTGGGAGCCTTATCTCTTCCCTGCATGTGTAGTGAAGCATGGCCTGTGTGTTGAAGGTTGGGAGCCTCATCCCTTCCCTGCATATTTGTAGTGCAGCTTTTTGTTGAAGCTAACAACTTTGTTAGCTTGGATTGGCGGTGGTATTAATTAGAAAGCATGCAAGTGCTCGGTAGCAATTGGATCTGACCTTTTTCCTACTAAATTAACATCTTGCTCGATTGAATTGTGCTTCGATCTCCTTGAATGAAGTCTGTACTATCGCCCATGCAAGTCAAGTTTTTTTTCTATAAACAATAGGGGTTTGAGGGGCTCCCTCTTGTTTTTTTTTTCAAATAAAAGTTTGTTCCCTCCCATGCTTGGCACTTGGCTTTTTAATATATTCTAACAGTTCGGGCTCCAGCCCCTCCTGATTTCTTAAAAACCATCTAAATGGACAATCTCTAATCTTATGATCCAAGGCATTTCCTATTACCGGATTGAGTTCTTTCCATTGATAGTCTTCCACCGTGGAAGAAGAAAAAGAAGAAGAAATGGGTGGCGGTGGGGGGCGAGGACACAAAATAAAAAAATGGATTTTATATCGAAACTGTAGAATTGGGTGAGATCTAAAACTTTGTATTTTGTGCCTTTTATTTGAGATCATTTATGGACCTAAATATACATTTTAGTTCTCCATTTTTGGAAATAAAATTTTAAAATTTTCAACCGACCTGATATGAAGAGACACAATATACTGAAGTTATAGTGCTTGACAAAGAACTAGATCGTAGTTGAAACTATATAGGGTGAAATATCTAACACAATATTCGTAGAAGTAGGATGGACCTTTAGTTTGATCTTTTCACGCAAGTGAATGGAGTAGATTTAATTATGGTAAGGTTTTAATTTTGAATTTTTAGAGTCCAATCCATATCCTCTCCAGTTATTCGGTCCTTTCACAAAGGCATATTCTTCACGGTGAATAAAAATTTGTACCGTTGTCAAAAAAACGTGGCTAGCATATATAGCAAATGCTTGTGTTTACTGGATACTGAAATCCGACAGCATAACAGATTGCAGTCGTTCTTGATTGAGTTGAGGTAGGAGACCTGTTCCGTGAAATTAAGCTTCACTACTAACAATTTTTTAGTGTTTATTGTACTCTCACTCGACACTCCGCGCCTGACAGCAGCTTCCCGCCCAGCCCAGGATTGGCAGGGCCGGACACCCAATATTCCCACGGGCCCGATCCGGCGATCCGGGCTGCGTCCGTCTCAAGATTTCCGTCGCTCGCCTGCGCCCGGCGCCCCCAACGAACCAGGAATCCAATGGAAGCCCGTCTGGGCCTCGCAGGGGAACTTCGGCCTAGATCGACCAGCTTTTCCCGCTTGGGCCTTGCGCAGGCCTCCAGTTTCTCAAAAAAAAAAAAGCTGTCCAGGCCTCCAGGGAGGGTGCCGCTGCCGTCAGCCCGTCACCGGCCGCCGTTGATCTGCTCCAGGGCGCCGCCGCCGGCGGCCATCTGGTCGAGGGCGCCGCATCCGGTATCTCTGCTGCGGCTTGCCACCGTCAGCCAGGGTCAGTGCAGTGCGGGTATGGCTTGCCTGCCGCCTCTTATATCTGTCTATTTCTCGTGAAAATCAAACAGATATTGGCTTGCGGCTTGTTCCTGTGTGGGGATTTAATGAGTATTGTATCACGTGATTCGATTTCATTCAGAGGTTGTTTCTTCTGACTTGTGCGTGCCCGAGATATACAGCTGGGTGCTACTTTTTGCCGTGCTAGTCTTGCTAGCAGTATGCATGAGTTAAGCATATGAGTTCATTGTAGTACTGATGTTCACCATTGGAGCTGTGATAAGTGATAGCATTCTTCGCGGTTTTCTGGTCTAAAACTTTCAGATTTGCTTGGTTAATGAAATTCAGATGTTTAATGCCAATTCGACAGCTCTATGTTCCTTGCCTCTCAAGACCATGTTTGTGTGTAGCCTTTTTGTTTCTTATTCTTCTGTATCTCTTGTTTGGTTGCTGTGGTAATATCATACTGTGGCCTACCACGGGCGGTTGACTGTGGAGCCCAGACAAATTGTAGTCATTGAGTTAATGAGGCTCAAGCTTGTTTTATGTTCAGATGGGTAGGTGACAATAGAGAAGGTCTTTTGTTCCTTACCTCTGAACATTTGGCGGACTCCATATTTGTGTTTGGCCAGTTGGCCACATTATCTCCATCATCAAATAGGTAGGGTGATACATACAGAGGAAAAACACGCACACACACACACACTAGTAGTCTGAAGACATCTTACAGATCATCAAACTGGCCACTGGTCACTGCAGGAGGGCAAAGGTATATGCAATGGCAGGTGAAGAGAGCAGATACCCTTGTCTTGGCAGACACAACACGGATGCTGTCCTCCAGCAGCAAGGAAGAGTAGGAAATGGCAGACACAAGAATGAGCAGGAGGGAATGTCGTTCAGGTCCGGGAGGTGCCTAAACAAACGGATCAACCAACAAGGGTCTACAAAGAGATGAGGGGGGCACCGATTTTACTTTTATGAGAATTGAGAACCAGTTAAAGGGAATTGTTGGGGGAGAAGTTTTTTTCTTTCTTCCCAATAGTTTATAGGAAGGTCCAAACATCAGTTTTAGGAGATTATTTTTTGGTATTTTTGGAGACGCTCTTAGGGGGCCAGCAGACAATTCTGTGATTTTTTTTTTTGGAAGGATGGCAATGGCTCTTCGGTAGTGTACCAAATCCTAAAATTTCTGAACATAGACAGCCCCCTCTGCATCCCCCCTGCATTCTCTTCTCCCCGCATGCTCTCTCTGTCTCCTCACCCCACCCCCCCTCTCGCCGACAAGTGGGTGACCACCGTCCAAGGTGCCCAGGCGTTCGCCGATCCCTTTGCCTGTTGAGCCAACGACAACAATGCATTCACATGCTCTCGATGAAGGCTCTTTCCTCACATTCTGCAGAGTGGCCTTTTCTAATGATCCTCAAACAACAAAGGGCCAAGTCTAGAGTCCAGCCTTTATCCAATTTGGCCCTTTCCTATATATGATCCGTAAAAGCAGGTCCATGAGTTGGGGTGCTTGTTTGGCCCTTGGGATTTGATGGCCCATTACCAGCGCTACTCGAAGCCCTACCAAACAGGGCTTTAAATGTTACTTATGTTTGATGTCTAAAAAGGCTGTTTCCATAGTTGCATACAACCGATTGTTTCACCAAAAAAAGACTAATTTCTTGTTCTTCAGGTCCTTGCTGCAAAAACATCAAGTTTTATACAGTCGTTGTGCGCACTAGCCCCTTTCCACAGACAAGAAGACCTTGAAGTCATCGATGTGTGGTATCACCCTTGTCCCCTCCAGTGACCGCCTCGTCATCGTTTCCTGTGCCACTGCAACTGCCGCTGCATCGGAGATCCAGCACTCCTGCGAGGTATGTTACTACACCCTCCACAACCTCCCAAACCTTCAGTTAAACGCCGGCCATACACTAAACCTTAGCACCTTAGGTTGATTTGCTGCTTTCACTTAACTGCAGAGGAAGGGCCTGTCAGATGAGCTGAAGGAGGCCCTGCGCTGGCGAGGCCCTGATAGTCTAGGCTACGAAAGTCGCCGCCTTCTCGCTGATGGCATGGTTCTTGGTGAGTGGTGACTCTATATGCACAGGACTTTGGTTGAATCTAAGTATTTTCTTATAGGTTGTCGTGCGTTGCAGTTAGTGATGGCTGCAATGATGGAGTTGAGGGTAAAGGCAGTGTGAGTGACTCCGGTGTCGCTGATTTGTTCTTCATCGGGGCAACACTGCATCTTATGGGAGCTAAGCTGGTTTCACAGCCACTGGTGGCCCCCACTGGAAGTGTCCTTGTGTATAATGGTAATGCCCTTGAGCTTGATGTAAAGTTGCTTCTTTTTATTTCTTCACAAATTATTGTCCTGTGGTGATATATGCTGATCAAATTAATGAAATTATTTCGTCTAAGGTGAGATATATGGAGGAATTCAGGTTGCAGATGATGAGAACGATACCCAAGCTCTTTTTACCTCTCTGGAATCTTGTTGTTCATGTGATTGCCATGCTCTTGGTAGAGATAAAACATGTCCTTGTTGTGGGTGTGGTGCCAAATCAGTTTTGCAACTCCTTTCCACAATCAAAGGTCCATGGGCTTTGATATACTGGCAGGCAGGTAATTTTTATGATTGTGATCTTTGCAATCTGTTGGAGGTTCATCTTTCTAACACCCAAGCCATCTTGAACTTCCAGATGAAGACAAATACGATTTGGTTTGGCCGGGATGCATTTGGAAGAAGAAGCCTCTTAGTACATTGGCCCACAGCTGATGATTCTCGCTTCATATTATCATCAGTATCACCCCCTTCACTTGCAAAGAATCACTCTGGTAAGATATGCTTAACTTTCAGGTGGATCTTTGCAGTAAGCTATGGTTTTGTCTGTGCTTAATTTTTTTGTTTCTTTACATGCTTTAAATAGTGATAACTCTTATTCAATTTTCACAAATTCAATCTTGTGTTTGTGGTCTTTTCCTCTGCTACAGATCCAACAGTAAATGATTTTGTGTCAGATCGTGACATGTCTAACCATACTGGAGCTAGCTACTGGGAAGAGCTTCCTTGTGGGATATACAGCATCCATATGAAAGACATTGGAAAATATGGTGCACGCATGAAGGAAAGGTGGATTGTGGAGGTTAACACACATAAATGGATGGCTTCTTCATTGATGAATTGATTAAATGGGAGAGGAAACTTACAGTTCCTACCATGGAGAACAATTCTGTTTACAGAGGGAACCATCAGTTGTCTCAGAGCTTCATAAGCTCAAGAGAAGCTGAAGAAAATGCGAATAATGGGATTACAAAGGCAGATCTCCTGTCAGATTCTAGTTTATGTGAAGCAAATTGCATAACACAGTCAGGTACATGAAACATTTACTACTGAAATTTCATAATTGAATTGTCTCAAAGAGTTGCTTATACTGATATATTGTTTATGTTGATATGTACATTCAGCACATAGAGTATTGGTTGCATTAAGGGAATCTGTAATGCTGCGGACTAAAATGAACACACTCTTTCAGGTTGGCATACATGTCAAGTTTTAATTTCTTAATGCTGCTCTGTAATACCTATGGTCGTTTAACAACTTCACCTGCGTAATTAATTGATCAGGACCTTCTTTACTGAAAATGGTTACATCTTTCTTCATGTTCCATTACTTGCTATATACATCATGTTATACTGAGTTCTTTCACGTGGACAGGGTACTCTAAATAAATTTGAGGACGAAGAGTCAGCCCCAATAGCAGTCCTCTTCTCCGGTGGCTTAGACTTCATGATACTTGCAGCATTGCTAGACCAGTGCATTGATTCCAAATGTAAGTCCGACTATTAATTTTACTCTGTTGCATTCAAACTTTCAAAGTTCTTATATATTATATATATTTGCTGCTAGAAGATTATGTTCTTCATCTCTATCCCTAAACTTGAATATTTAAGTAAAGCTAATAAAGATTTCCAACAGGAACAATTGATTTGTTAAATGTCAGTTTTGATGGGCAGCTTGCCCCTGATAGGATTTCTGCAATAGCAGGACTGAAGGAGCTTCAGAGGATATCTCCGTGCCGGAGGTGATTTGGCTTCTGAACTTGCTGTGTTCTTAGCCCCAACAGCTTGTATGATCTAGCACTAAATGTATTTGATTTTGTTTAATCATACCTATCTTCATATTCTCCATAGTAATTGCACTTGAAGAACGATGATACCTGCACCTAATTTCCTTTTTGGGCGAATGAAATTCCTACTATACCCTTATGAGTTCCTTGTCCATTATGATGTTTCATGTTCTTTGCTACGATGCACTCTTGCATCTTTACTTGTATGCTTTTCTGGCTATTCATGCAAGTTTGTAATTCATTTTAGTTTTCAGTTTAGCTATAAATGCTGTGTTGCACTGTGACTTTAAGCTGAAATAGTTGTTTTATTGTCCCTGTGTTCTTAAATTGCAGATGGCGTCTTATTGAGATTGACACTGCTTTGACAGACTTGAAAGGGGAAAGTGAACATGTGATGTCACTCATACACCCTTCAAACACCTATATGATGTGTATCCTTTTATTAAAGCCTTATATGTTCATTCCATTGCTTTCCCATAACATAACATTAGATAACATGCCACATATATTGTTTGTGCACTTGCACTCTGTTTACATGTTTGTGGATTTGGGGTTTTGGAATGGTAACATAAACTTGAAATTTTGTCTATTACCACCTCCATTCCAAATTTCAGTTCACTTTGGTTTTGTGACCAAGTTTATAGAAAAATGCACCAGCATCTGTACTGTCAAAATTGTTTCATTAAATTCTCCATGGAATATTTTTTTTGAAAGTGTGTTTATTTGAACTTGTAGATGTTAATATACTTTTTCTAAAAACCTGGTCAAAGTTAGAGGTTTGACATAGGACAATGCCAAAGTGAACTATAATTTGGAACAGAGAGTGTAACTCATGATAGAGTTATCAAAGTTGAATCATTCGATCTGTTCTACAGGATTTGAACATTGGTATTGCTCTCTGGTTGGCTGCTGGTGGGGATGGTTGGGTGGATGGAAGTACATGTCGTATGCAAGACGGTGCTCGCTATAAGTACAGGTCAAGATCTAGAGTCCTTATAGTGGGTTCTGGGGCTGATGAGCAGTGTGCTGGTTATGGTAGACATCGGACTAAATATAGGCTTGGAGGGTATGTCCGTACATCAGTTTGATTTGCTGTACTTAGTATGATGGATATCAATTAAATTGTTCAAGCACTGTAATGGTAAGAATCCTATTAATTAAGCTTTTATGCTGCTATTTAGGTGGAACGCATTGGATCAGGAGATGAGACTAGATGTGCAGAGAATATGGAAAAGGAATATGGGAAGAGATGATAGGTGCATATCTGATCATGGCAAGGAGGTAAGCTGTCTTTCCTTGGATTATGAATCTGAATGCCTAGTATTTTCAGTTATGGCTTTAGTTTTTTGGCTATCTAATGTGTACTACTGTACATCATGTAGGCCCGTTTCCCTTTTCTTTATGAGAACGTGATAAAAACTTTGTTGGAAATTCCATTATGGGAAATTGCTAAACTTGATGAACCTGTTGGAAAGGGTGACAAGAAGATATTGAGAGAGGTTTGCACATAATTTGCCTAATTGCCTTACTTCGAGTAGAAGTTTTTGCATTGTATGCTAGTTTGCATTGCAAATTAACATATACTTGCTGAGTGCATCAGTTGTCTGGATGGAATGGTATTGTCTAATGACACAGTTGGCTATTGATCCCTCGGCTGCCCTGCACAGGTAAGCAGTAAGCTTACCAGTACACCCTCTCACTGTGGCTAGAGGTAGAAGAAGATATTGAGAACAGCTCACACACACATAGCAGAAGCCCAGCGCTGGCCGAAAGCTCTGCTTCTGGATGTGGCAAACTGAACTACTCTTTTGCATTGCCTTAGGTGTGATATATATACAAGTGTTAATACCTCTAGCAGGTACATAGTTGTTGGTGAGTACACCAACTATCTACTCCTAAGGTACACCAACTACTCCAAGTACTAGCAGTACAAAGCTTAGATTAGCCCACTACCAAGACATGGCTGATGTAATAGCTACTAATTAATGTACTAGCGGTGGTCTATTGCCATACTTTTACAGCAGTAGAGACTGGACAACCGAGCTGACCAAATGCCAACTCTACTGCGGCAAGAGAGAGAGATCAGCAACAGATTATGTCTTACAATTCTTCCCCTAATCCTGCTGCTAACCCTATGCCTTGACCTCATCCATACCAATCATCTTCCTCAGCTCCATGAACCGCAGGCGCACGAGTGACTTGGTGAGGATGTCAGCGAGCTGTCTGTCGGTCTCGACGAACTCGATGGCGATCTGCCCTCCATCGATGCAGTCCCGGAGGAAGTGGAACTTGATGTCAATGTGCTTGCTCCGGTCGTGGAGGACAGGGTTCTTGGCGAGGTTGCCCACCATCAGAGCTGGCGGGTGAGCTTCCTCGCCGGTTAGCTCGCCCAGCAGCCAGCGCATCCCGACAGTCTGGCACGCCGTCGTGGCTGCTGCGACGTACTCCGCCTCGCACGTCAACAATGCCACGATCTTTTGCTTCAGCGACTGCCAAGCAATGGGGCCGCTCCAAGGAAGACGAGCACGCCGGAGGTGCTCCGTCGCCCGTCGATGTCGCCCGCCATGTTTGCGTCGCTGAAAACAGTGAGCTCCGGCTCACCTTCCTTTGCCTTGGGGGTGCCTCATTGAAGACCGTGAGCCGCAGCCCACCCTTGCCGCCACTCTTGGGGAAGATGATCGCTTGATCGAGCGTCCCCTTGACGTAGCGCAGCAGCCTCTTCACCACCGTCCAGTGATCCTCGCGCGGGTCCTCCATGAAGCGACTAACATACCCGACCGCGAACGTGATGTCTGTTCGAGTATGCGTCAGGTAGCGCAGCCCGCCGACGATGCTCCGGTAGCGCATCGCGTCCACCTTCTCCGCCATGCTTGTGCTTGGACAGCTTCAGCCGCTCCTCCATTGGAGTTGCGCACGGCTTGCACTCCGCCATGCCGTTGCGCTCCAGCGGCTTCTTCGCATAGGCGCACTGGCCTAGGGAGATGTGCTCCTTCCCCTGCCTAACCTCAATGTCGAGGTAGTAGGAGAACGCGCCGAGATCGCTTATTTTGAAACGAGCAGCCATCTCGCGCTTGAAGTCGTCGATGTCCTCCGCGCCGCGCTCCAGTGATGATTAAGTCGTCCACATACACGCTGACGACGAGCTCCTTCTTCCCCTGTCGCCGCGTGTACAGCGTGTGCTCTGTGGCGCAGCGAGTGAACCCAAGCTCGCCCAAGGTGGCGTCGAGCTTGGCGTTCCACGCCCGAGGGGCTTGCCACAGCCCCTAGAGCGCCTTGCGCAGCTTGAGCACCTTGTGCTCAGCGCCCTTGACGACGAAGCCTCGGATCTTGCTTGACGAAGACCATCTCCGCGAGCTCGCCGTTGAGGAACACAGACTTGACGTCGAGGTGGTGGACGCGTCAATCCTTCGCTGCTGCCATGACCAACAACAAGCGAACGGACTCCATTCGCGCCACCAGAGCAAAGACTTCCTCGAAGTCGATGCCCTCAAGCTGCACGAAGCCACAGGCGACGAGCCGAGCCTCGTACTTGACAATGGCGCTGCGCTCGTCCCGCTTCATCTCGTAGACCCACTTCAACCTGATCGTCTTGCAGCCCACTGGTGGATCCACCTGCTCCCATGTCCCATTGTCCTCGATGACCTTCATCTCTTCCAATATCTCCTGGCGCCAATTGTCGTCGCATTCAGCCACTGCAAACGTCGGTGGCTCCTCTACACTAACAAGGAGCAGCTCTGGGTCGTCGAAAAAACGACTGGCCAACCTAGGAGCTCCCCCTTCGCCGACGATGTTGTCCACCCGCCTGAACCGGACCTCCTTGCTGTCGTGGAAAGCGTCCACGTACTCGTCGATGTCGGTGGGTGGAGAGGTGAACTCGATCGGTGGTCTATGGTCTCCTTGTTCTGTCGGAGTGGTCGGCATCGCTGCTGGACCGCTCGGCACCACTGCCGGAGTGGTCGGCATCGCTGTTGGACCGCTCGGCACCACTGCCGGAGTGGTCGGATCCACTGCTGGAGCGGTCGGCACCACTCCTGGAGTGGTCGGCTCCACTACTGGAGCACTCGGCACTGCTGCTGAAGTGCTCGGCAACCCCTCTGGAGTGGTCAGCATTGCCGTTGGACCGCTCGGCACCACTCCTGGGGTGGTCGGCACCTCTTCTCCAGCGTCTCCACCACCGTGGATGACTAAGTGTTCGACGACGAAGGTGCTGCTCAAGCTGCCAGCTTCCCCTGTTCCCGGATCCTCCTAGTCCTAGGCCGCCATCTCATCGAACACCACATCCCTAGAGATCACCATCTTGTCTCTCTTGGGATCATAGAGCCGACACGTCTTGGTGCTCTCCTCGTAGCCTAGGAGCACCATCGGCGTGCTCCTGTCTTCCAGCTTGCCGAGGTGAGGCTTGGTGTTCTTCACATGACCGACGCAGCCAAATGTCCTGAGGAAGGCACATTCGGCTTGCGTCCATGCCAAACCTCGAACGGCGTCTTGCCCTTCAGGGCCTTGGTGGGTGCACCGTTGAGGATGAACACCGCCGTGGTCATCGCCTCTCCCTAGAACTTTGCCGGCATGGTTTTGGCCTTCATCATGGATCGAGCCATGCCGACCACCGTCTAGTTCTGTCGCTCCACCACGCCATTCTGCTGTGGCGAGTACGGCGCGGTGTGGTGTCGCACCACACCCTGATCCGCGCAGTACGCAGCGAACTCCACCGAAGTGAATTCGTCGCCGCGATCAGTCCGCAGCACGTGCAGCTTCTTGCCGCTCTCCGCCTCTGCGCGCGCCTTAAACTTCTTGACCGCTTCCGTTGCCTCGGTCTTGCTGGTCAGAAGCTGCAGCCACATGAACCGGCTGCAGTCATCCACCAGCAGGATGAAGTACTTGCGCTCGTCGTGCGTCGCCGGCGTGATCGGCCCGCAAAGGTCACCATGGACCAGCTCGGGGCCTCTGCCGCGCGGTACTTCGCTGTCTTCGGGAACAGCATCCTTCTTTGCTTCCCAACCAGGCAGCTGTCACACAGCTCGCCTGCGTGATCGATATGAGGCAACCCAGTCACCATCTTCTCCAGTTGACCAAGAGCGTCGAAGCTGAGATGGCCGTACCGGGCATGCCACAGCCACGGCTCCTCTGTGTGCCGTGCAGCCAAGCAGATGGGCTGCTCCACCTTCAAGTTGAGCAGGTATAGCCGGTTCCGGAACATCTTCACCTTGGCAAGAAGCCGCTGCTCCCGGTCCCTGATCCTGAGGACGCCGTCCTTGATCAGTACCTCGCTGCTGCGCTCATCTAGCCGGCCAATGCTGATGATGCTTGAACGCAGCTGCAGGATGTAATATACATCCGTCAGCACGCGTTGCTCGCCGTTCTGGCACCTGAAGATGATGGTGTCGCGCACTCGGATCGCCACCCTTGAGCCGTCACCGAACTTCACCGTGCCGGTCACGTTGCCGACGAGCTCAGAGAAGGCTTCCTTGGAGCCCATCATGTGGTTGCTGGCGCCGGAGTTCAGGTACCACCGCTGCTCCTGCTTGCTGCCCACACGTCGGAGGTGGACTTGGGCGCGCGGTTCGTCGAGGTTGACAGCCTTCAGAGCCTTGTCGTGCCCTTCCACCGCCATCACCTCTCACTTCTCCAAGGCCTCAACGTCGTACAGTGCACAGAACGTCACCATCAGGAGAGTAGCCTCATCATCCTCATCAGCCTCCGCTAAATGAGCCTCAGTCTTCTTCTCCTGCTTGCGATTTGGGCACTCCTTTGCCCAATGGCCCGTCTTCCCGCAGCGCTGGTAGGCGTTGGGGTCGACCTTCTTCTTCTTCTCCGAAGAAGATTTGCCGCGGCGCTTGCCATCGCCATCGCGGCTGGATGAGGCTTCCTCGGACTTCTCGTTCATTCGGGCAGCCCACTCCTCTGTTAGCAGCAGCTTGCTGCTGTCAGTCGTTGCTGTGGCCTGCTCCATGTGCTCTTCCACCACCCGCAAACGGCCTGTCACGTCCTCAATGGTGAGGGTGGACAAGTCCAGCATCGTCTCTATGGAGAGAGCGATCTGGATGTATTTCACTGGCACGGAGTGGAGGTACTTGGAGACCACCTATTCTTCGTCGATGGTGACGCCATGGCTCCTCAGCTTGCTGATGAGCGACTGCAGGCGGAGGAAGAAGTCCTCCACCGACTCATCATCCTTGAACTTGAGGTTGGCGTACTCCTGCTTCAGCAGCTGGGCCGTCGCCTTCTTTGTGCGCTCGGAGCCGACGCGCATCGCTGCAATGGCCTCCCACGCCTCCTTAGCAGAGTTCTTCGCCCCCAACGGCTCCCTGTACTCCGCTGACACAGCAGCGAGGATAGCCTCCAACGCTGACATGTCGTCTTCTTCGTTGTCGGTGCCCTTGTCAATGGCATTTCAGAGCCGTCGGGCTCTGAGCTTGACCTTCATGGTCACCGCCCACTCGTCATAGTTGGTGTGAGTCAACGTCGGCCAACTGGTGTCGCTGACCTCCCGCACCGTGCGCACGATAATCTCCTGTCATGGCTGGGCAGCCACAGCAGCGCCGCTGTTGTCGCCCATCTCCGAACCGTCCGTCATCGCTAGCGGTTAGTCCGGCGACGGTGCTTGTACGGCTCTGATTCCACTTGTTGATCCCTCGGCTGTCCTGCACAGGTAAGCAGTAAGCTTAACATCACACTCACTCACTATGACTAGAGGTTAAAGAAGATATTGAGAACAGCTCTCACACACAGCAGAAGCCCAGCGCTGACCGAAAGCTCTGCTTCTGGATGTGGCAAACTGAACTACTCTTTTGCATTGCCTTAGGTGTGATATATATACAAGTGTTAGTACCTCTATCAGGTATATAGTTGTTGGTGAGTACACGAACTACCTACTCCTAAGGTACACCAACTACTCCTAGTACTAGCAGTACAAAGTTTAGATCAGCCCACTACCAAAATATGGCTGATGTAATAGCTACCAACTAATATACTAGAGGTGACCTATTGCCATACTGCTACAGCAGTAGAGACTGGACAGACGAGCTGATCAAATGCCAACTCTGCTGCAGCAAGAGAGAAAGATCAGTAGCAGATTATGTCTTACATTGCCAGGGTGGCAAATGAGTGCAACTGTTGCAAAATTACCTTGAGAAATATCGAAATCTAAGGCTGGTTTGGTGATGGATTGCAGTTCTTTTTGTTACATGCTTAATAGTTGGCTAATGGCAATCACCATGTCCTATTTATGTAGGTTGCAAGGCTGCTGGGCCTACAAGAAGCCGCTCTTCAGCCGAAGCGTGCGATCCAGGTGCATATTCTAACCAGATACTTGACCTTCGTTGGTAAAAATACCTAACAATTAATAAAATCCTTGAAAAAATAGTGGTAAAAAGTACCCAATTATTAACAAAATCTAGGAGTATTGACTAACAAGAGGCAAAGCATCTTGGATAGTCACTCGTAGTTGGTCCGATAAAGTTGCAACACCATCTCTGCTTAAACATCTGATACATGCTAGTGCCATAATAATTATAACCAGCATCATTTTCATTACAACATCACAAACAGTTTTCGCATACAAGCTTGCACCTGATACCACTTCCATCCAATACTTTTACACAGTTTGGATCAAGGATAGCGAGGGAGTCGAACCGGCAGAACTTCGGCAGCAACAGAGCCGCGAACCAGGCATCAGCAGGCAGCGTGCAGATTCACCAGCATATGCAATGAGCCAATGACAGCACGCTGTGGGTAGCATGCCCATTAACAGTTTACAGCCCCTGGGAGGAAGCTGATGAACACGTTTCTGCAATGGCGCGTTCACCAGAGTCCAGCTTCTCCAATGGCGTCGAAGCTCTGCAGGCCACACGCCAGCCATTTCTCACCAATCAGCCATGAACACGTTTTTGCCGCACCTGGTTTGGTTCTGTAGAGCTTATTTGTTGGATGGAGCATCATTGTCGGTTGTCACGGACCATCACCCAATTCTTGTTCACATGGTAAACTCCGTTGTCCATTTTATTTTATTTCAAATATTGTCCAATCTTGAGCCAAAAGATTTTGAGTCAACTATATGTGTAATAGTTATTTTTTTTTGTTCTGATTCTGATCTTAAAAATTAACGACCGGAAATAAAAAAACTTTATAAAAGCCCTACTATCCGTTGTCCCTGTCTGTCTCAGGCTTGAGCCTTTTGAGTCATATATATGATCCTTTTTCTGATTCTGATCTTGTAACGACCGGACGTGGTTATAAAACCTAAAAGTGGCCGGCCGGCTGCTTTGTCTCAGGCCGCTGTGGCGCCTGTGCGGGCCGGCTTGGGCCTGGCCAATAATTCTGGATGGTGTAAAACGAAAGGATCCTCGTTGGAAAAAGTCCACAACGCGAGTCCAATCGAATGGCCACGTATGCGTGCGCCCTCCTTGCTCCGCGCACCCCGCCTGGTGCACACGCGAATCCACTCCAGCCCACCCACCGCCGCCGCCTCTATAAAAGATGAGACCTGCCCCCCCCCGGCCACCACCATCTCCCCTTCGCCTCCCCGTCTCTCCCCGCCTACCCACCCCAGCAGCATCCCCTCGGTTTCCCGCCCAATCCACCGCGCGCTCGCCTCGCCTCGAATTCCAATCAACCATTTGGAGGTTGAATTTGAATTCCAGCTCGAATCACCCAGCCGGCCAGCCGGGAGCGAGAGCGCTGCGAGCTTGGGGAGCTCGATTCGGCCGGAGGGATCTGAACCCTAGCGCCGTCCGGATCTGTGACCCCGCGCCGGCGAGCTGCTCGGCGCCTCGGCGGCATGAGTGCCTGGAAAGCGGGGAGGAGAAGCGGCGGAGATATGAGCGGAGGCGGCGGCGGCGGGAGCGGCAGCGGGGACGAGTTCGGGCGGGCGGTGGCGCGTGCCGCGGTGGCGCAGGCGCTGGAGGCCGCGGGGTTCGACTGCGCGCACCGCTCCGCGGTGGACGCGGTCGTCGACGTCCTCCTGCGCTACATCACCCACCTGGGCCGGTCCGCCGCCTTCCACGCCAACCTCGCCGGCCGCGCGCTCGCCAACGAGCTCGACGTCATCCAGGCGCTCGAGGAGGTCGGCAACGACACGGACGGCTTCGCGGGCGCCGCGGCCACGGGCCGCTGCCTCGTCGGCTCCGGCGTCGTCAGGGACCTCATGGCGTTCGTCGACTCCAAGGACGAGGTGCCGTTCGCGCGGCCGCTGCCTAGGTTCCCAGTCCAGCGCGTGCAGCCGCAGCCCTCTGCCAGCCCGGCGGTGGCGGTGGCGGTGGCGGGGAGGGAGGCTGGGATGAGGCACGTGCCGGAGTGGCTGCCTGCGTTCCCGGACCCGCACACCTATGTGAGCACGGAGGTGTGGGTTGAGCCGCCGGCGACCAAGGACAGGGTGGACAAGGTGGAGCAGGCGCGGCAACGGAGGAAGGCGGAGAAGTCCCTGCTCAGCTTGCAGCGAAGGCTGGCTATGGCAGGCGCGGATGGGTTTCGTCCAGCGGTTGCGGTGGTGCAGGATAGCGCAGAGAAGGGGAAGGAGATACAGGCAGCTGGGACAAAGAGGAACCCATTTCTTGAGCCAGCATTGCCGCCTGGAGAGAAGGATGTATCTGAGGTTGATATGCCTCCTGAAAAGAAGAAACTCTCTGTCCTTGAGGCATTTGCGCCAGTTATCCAAGCTAGAACCATCAGGGAGATTGATGCTGGGGCAGGGTTGGATCAAAATCAAAGGAGCATTGTTCCAAAGGAGAGGGCTCCGGTGCATCTTAAGCTTGGATTTGAAAAGAAGCCATTAGCAGCAGCTCTGAATTCAAGAGCCCTGGACCTGAGGGAAGATCCTTCCTTCTTGAAAGAGGAAGCAAAGGATGACAAGAAGCGGAGAGCGGGCATGATATTAAGGGCATCAATGGAGAACCCACAAGAACTTCCTCAGCTCTAAAGTTCTTTGTGGAGGAAGTGCGGTACCCAGAGTGGAGTTGCATCATGGTGTAACTGTGGAACTTCAGTTTCCGGAATCTTGAGGTACGTTGTAAACATTTACCTTGTGGTAAATCATTGGTCCAGGGTGTCAATTGCTCTATAGGCCTATGAACAAAACCCATGTAGTTGAAAAATCCTTTGGTTGTGTGTATCAAAGTGGTGGAACAATTTGCCAATTTTAGCTGAGCTATGTGTTAGTGTATATTTGTATTGATTTTTTTTTTTTGGCTCATGTAGGATAATGATACAGAACTCTTACAAAAATATCTATGCATCTATTTGTTAGCTTTACCCACTTTGACTAGTCTTGGATGGTAGAAAATCTGGGATGTTAATACTTAGTATCTTTTAGGTAGGCTTGCTCTGCTCAGTATTATTAGCAATTGAGCTACTTTGAGCAATAATGAAGCATGCTTATGTGCCCCAATGTGTTCCATTCAAGAGAGTACAGATTGTACTGCATGCATTCACTATTTCATAATGTGTAATGTGAGGAGGATATTCTAATTTATGGGCCTATTTGGATCATCTAGGGCTAGTTATTAGGTGGGGCTAAAAATTAGCCCAAATTAGCTGAGGCTGGCTAGCTAGTTGGTTAACTAGTTGGAGTCATTGCTAAAAAAATTAGCCCACTTATTAACCCCCTGTTTGGATGGGCTGGAGCTAAAAATTAGCTGGCTAACAATTAGCCCTATGCATCCAAACAGGAATTCTGTTATCAGTCATTCTGGAAAAAAGGAATTTAATCTGGATATGTATTGGTTAACCAACTACTTGGATTAGACTATCAGTCTAAAAAAGGAATTCTTGAAGTTTGGTATTATGGCTATCCTGCACCCTCCCCTCCAATCAATTGCCTATGACTGTATTAGAGTGTTTATAGTATGCTGAAGATATGACAACACGGCCAGGATTTTGCTTGTAAAGTAGTACACACAAGAGGATATCTCCTTGCCTATGTCCTTTGGCATGCTTGTAACTAGATTTTCACTTCTTTACCCTACATATTATCCCTTGTTGAGCAGTTCAAAACTGCATTATGTCTTCATATGTTGCTCTGGTAGATATGATAACTTCAATCGATGAACATGCCTACTTTAGTCTTTGGTTACCTTGTTTAGGGTTTGGTTACCATGTTTTCCAAATAACAGAAACACGATATGGGTTAGGGTTTGGTACTTTGGTTACCATGTTTTGTAAGCCATACCGTGACATAGGTATCTTTTCTTTTGTTATAACAGAAACGAGTTATAGTTTAATAAGATGGGATAGAAATAATATGCCACCACATGATTCTCTATTGTGTTTTTTTGCTGCCTCTTAAAGGTATGCAGGATTCTTTGCATGCTATCAGTTGAGATGCAGAATGCCTTAAGGGTGTTTCCAAACATATAGTTACATAGTGCTATGCACTTCTATACTGGTTTGTAAACTTATGAGAATAATACAACAAAGACAAGATAATATATAGCTAATGTAGCATCGTTCCTTAAAAGTGGAATTCTCTCTGAAACAAAAGTAACTCGTATTGATCACTGGCTAACCTGGCAAGTGACAACTACATTTACATGGGTGCCATGCTTTTGAAAGCAGCATTTAGTAGTCCCATAGTCCCGCATGCAGCAGTTAAGAAGCTCAAAGTTGAGCAGTTCACCGCAGATCTAGTAATAGTTAGGCATGGCGAATCAATGCACCATCCTACTGTTATTGCTTTTTCATGTGTTCAGAGTCCAAACCATGAAATTTACTTTACTGAATGGATCTAGGTTCTAGTAGGAATTATTTATTCCTTGATGACATTCTATTTTTTTTAAATATATGGGATTTATTGATTTATTGGGTGTTTGGTTTGTGGAATGAGGTAGTCCATCATCATCTCACTCCTTAATTTTGTTTGGTTTGTGGAATGAAATGAGTTAATGCATCATCATTCTGTACTAATATGAGGAATGAAGTCATTCCATTAAATTTGAGGGATGGATTCATGATGCATCACCTTATATAGAATGGATTGATTCTCCAAACCAAACACTCCCATCAGCATGTCAAAATAAATTATTAATCTGACTTGAGGTTTGGTGATTTCTGCAGGCCATGTGTCCGTGATACAACCTTCCTTAGAAGCTTAACCTGCAACCAGGCTCTCCCTCCTCCACCTAGCATTTTCCTTGAATCACCAAGCGCTGATAAATTCTGCAGCGCTGTAACTGAAGTTCCACCATCTCACCGCATTGAACTTGGTTCCGCTGGCATTTCACCTTTAGCTGTAAGTGGGTTGGTTCAAACGGAGCTGATTTGTGAGGCCGTGGTTCTTGTCCCCAGACCTGGCATCCAAAAGAATGATGCTCCCGAGTTAGTTTTTGTAGCTGTATTCCCTGGTAGAATTGGAGAGAGATGTCTGTACAAAAGCTAACCTGATTGTTCTTACCAAGACTCGTCATAGACAGGATTGATGGATCTAGTGGGTTACTATCAACAGCCAGCTTCAGTATGCAGTAAGTTGGTCTAATAGTGCAGTATGGCCCCCCACACCGCCGCTGTGTTTGGGACAAAAATGCTTTCCAGATACCTGGTGAAGGACTCGATTATGAGGATTGATTGATTGATTCTAGTTGGTCAGTTCATGTCATTAGTGAGTTGATGTAGTGCTTTATAGTTGGAGACTGGGATTGTAATAACAGTGTACCATATGATTCATTCGTCTTTTCCCCCAATCTAACTTGAGTGAGTATCCCAGATTGAACTTGTGAAGATTTTATTTTAGGAGGAAGCATGTTGGAATGTGTCTGGAGCTTGTGCATTTGTGTGAACTGTGAAGATCCTGAGAGGTAGCACGTAGCAGTCTGATGCAGAAATGTGTTTATGGGGCTGGGGCTTGTGCATTTCCGTAGCTGTTTGTGTGAAGATCTTGGAAGGCAGCATCCTGATGTGTATCTGGGATCTTGTCCACTTGTCTGGCTGTGCGTAAACTGGTCTTGATCATTGAACACAGGGTGGTTCCTCGATTTTGCCAAGCATGCGGCGTGTTTTGCAGGGACCAGGAAGGCCCAGACTGGATCAACTAGGCGGCCTTTTCTTGCAAGGTTGTCTTCTGTTTCATCGGCCGCCGTAGTGGGCTATTGTCTTGTTATTGGGCTATTGTCTTGTGTTTCATCAGCCGTATTGGGCTATTGAGTGGTTCAAGAGGCTTCTGCTTCCTTCTACATATGCGTCGTGGTATATACTGGTGAAATGTCTGAAATACCTTATCCAAAAAAAAAACAGAAAAGATAGAAATGTCTGAAATACCGTTGTGGTATATACTGTAAACGAACACCCGATTACTTGTGTGTCGTGAACATGCAAGCAGCTCATATCTTGGTGGTCTCTTGCCGCCACCCTTACCCCCTGCATTTTCACTGTTCATCCGTATCTTTGCAGCCTGAACAAACAAACACCCACGGCAGTCCACTTCCGTGATGTACTTGTGCAGCTGCTGTTCACCTCAATCCTCTTTGCAGCGTAGCGCCGTCTGGATATCGACCGTATTCAAAGCGTAGAGGGGTTTAAATTTAAATCCATTTGATCCGATATTTAACATCTGTATCCGTATTCGAATACTTATCGTATATTTATGATATCGATATCTATTCGTATCTTATCCGGCATGGTTGACATTATCCGTATTCGAATCCGAATCCGGACATAAATATGTAATATCAGTAATATCCGTCTGTGTCCCATCCGTTTTCGTCCCTGCTCACGGGTCTGTCGAATAGGTCCAGCACAGATCTGCCTGGACGACGCAGCGAATAATTTGGGGCGATTCGGTCGGATCCGTTTTCGTCCACGAAATCACTGTTTCTGTCGAATAGGTCCAGCACAGATCTGCCTGGACGACGCAGCGAATAATTTGGTGGCTCAGGTCCGGGCATCCCGCAGCCGGCAGCGATGGAAGTGGCACAGGCACCCAATGGATACTTCAATTCAGGTGCACGGGCACTATTTCATTTCACGCACACCATCGACCAGAGCAGAGCACACTCACCCACAACCATGTCTCAACTCTCAAGTGGCGACACTCTGATTAGACCAGCAGCCCATCCCATACCCGTGAAAATCCCTACCACTACCTCGTTTCCAATAATAATCCAACTGCAAATTATCCCTGTCCACCTGCTAATTCTTGTTTGCTTCTCCTTGTTCTTCAGCTCCTAATAATCCCCTGATCCAGCCGTACTGCTGTCGCTGTGGAGAGGTCAAAGTCACAGATGAGGACAAGTCAACGAGAATCATTCTCTGTACGAGTATCTATTCATATATGGTCTTTGCGGCAGGCAACCTCATCGAGGAGCAACTGACTCACTCACCGTCTGTCTGGCGGCCGAGGCTTTGTTTTCTTATTCTGCAAGCACTATATATATAAAATAAAAATGGTTGGGTTTGGTACTTGTTTGGAGACCAAATATAGACATGCAAATATTTGTACTTGTGTCGAAGTGATACACGTATACAAGATAGATAGGGCCGGGGACCACCAGATCGTGTTACAGAGTATATATTTCTAAAAATCGCATCAGAGTGTATAGTATATATATACACAAAATCTTATTCTCATATATGATCTGAGCACATGTACGCTACCGCGTCAATCCTACGTACTTTGAGGGCAGATGGAGCCGTAGAAAGGAAATGCGGATATATAGCGGGTCAAGAAAAAAAAGCCTAACGACATTTGTTGGGAAAGGAGGCCGTGACCAGTACTGCTAAAAAGACGCCGGAGTTCCTAACAGCAACAGCCACCATGAACCTAAGCTAGCTAGCTAGAGAGGCATGCATCACATCACCGTTAGTCGGCACTTGCCAGCCGGCCATGAGAATGAGATCCCCAGCTAGTAGGTCTGAATAATTCTCAGGAGCAGCAGTGGGTGGTGTTAGCAGCAACCACAACTGTGCCGATGCCGACATTGTCACGTTCGTTTGTTTCAGGAGCCAAGAATATTTTCAGCTATGGGAGACGAAAGTTTTGCCAGGACGGGCCAGCCAAATGGAAATGCATGGGTGCGATGGGCCAACTCGGAGACGATTTTGTTGACCAGCCAGCCCTGTCTGACTCGCAGCCAGCCAGCCAGCCTCTTGCAACTTGCAGATGTGGGTGGGATCCATGGACGACGAGGCAGCCACTACCATGAACATGCATGAGTGCATATATACAGTGGGTCGGATCGGCATATATGCCGTCCATGCATGGACTGGGAGTGGTGGATCTCTCACTGCCTCCTCCCACTTTGCACGTTCTCGTTCAAACCTGGCCGCTCTCCGAGGATCAATCGTCTTTTATATTCTACTAGTATATATGAGCCATAATCTTATATTTCCTCCATTCTAAAACGGAAGTGGTTTTTTTATATATAATTTTAGCCTGAGCTAAGCTGCTCTAACTCTGATAAAGTTTATGGGAATTTATTAATGTCTACAGTACCAAATAATTGGCAAAGTTTCATGGTGGATTTAATTACACTATATTTGATATTGTATAAATTGATGTTTTTTTATATAGAAAAGTTTGACAAAGATAGATTTTTTTAAAAAAAAAAACAAGCAGGGTATTGTATCGTGTGGGAAATGGTACTATCAAGATTGACTCTTTTTTTTTGTACTCGAGAGATTCATTTATTTCTACTTGATAACACGAAAAATGCCTATGCACATGTCTGTGAGTGCCAATTCTCGCAAACAAATAAATAAAACAAAATAAAAGGTCACAAAAAATATGTCTGCGAGTGCCATCATTTCCAATGGTGTTATCCGAAGTCATTGTATATATAGGAGTAGAAGAAGAGAAAGAAGGAAGCAAACATTTCCGTTGAGATATCTCGGTTTGGTTGGTTTTCCTATACAAGGCCAAATTAAACAAACAAGTTCCATTTCTGTTATTTCAACAACTGCCTCAACTAATCTTTCGAGTTGGTCAAGCCGTTTTCTACCTTTAGCGCGCAGAAGATTACATTGGAAAATGGAAACACTCCTTATAGTGCGTCCGTCCGTCCGGACGGATCCCGTCCTAACCCGCGCCGCCCCCGCTTGCACCCCCCGCCCGCTCGCGCCGCGCATGGCGAGTCCGACGCGCTAGGCGCTCGCTAGCTCGCTCCCAGACTCGCGCATCCCGTCGCGGCCGTGCTTCATCCGCCTACCCCCCCTGCCGAGGTCCGCGCCACCAATGGGCTCCACACCAGCGACCTTCGCGCCACTCCACGGCTTTGAGCTCTGTGCTGGCGTCGAGCTCCGTGTCGACAAGCCTCCATTCGTCCAAGCAGAAGCAGATGCTACACTGAAAGCGCATGTTGCAATAGTATGTTGCAAGTGTTTTAGATGTTTCAAGTATGTTGCAAGTGTTGTATATCGACGTTGCAAAAGTAGATCAGGATGTTGCACATGTTATGATGGCTATACACATAAGTTTCAAGTGTATGTTCCAAATATTTTATCTGTTCCAGACGAATGTTGCAAGTGTTTTGTCTGGATGTTGCAAAAATAGATATAGATGTTGTATATGCATGCATGTTGCAAGCATATGTTTCAAGTGTTTTCAGGGTTTCATACGTATGTTTGCAAGTGTTTCATCTGGATGTTGTATATATTTGCAATGGTTTTTAAATGTTTTTCAAGCATTTTCGCAAGTGTTTCAGACGCTTTGTTTTAAATGTTTCATCTGTCTTCTTTTGTATGTTGCAACTGTTGCACCTGGATGTTTCAAAAGTAGATCGACTGTTGCACATGGAATGCACATGGGAAGCGGCCGACAGTGCGGGCGACGTCCTGTAGCGGTGTGTGACCACTACTGGTGCGCTCCCTCACGAGTCCGACTTGCTAGGCGCTTGTTCGTTTCCTGTACGGGGAGCGTCCGGATGTTAGCGCTAGCATCGAACGTATAGAAAAGTCCAATTGGAAAAAGATGCATATGTCACTTGGCCATGTTCGCTTCTCTTATAATCTGTCTTTTTCAGCTTATTTTTTCAACCGAAACAGTGTTTTCTCTCTCACAACAAATTAGTGGGAACAGTATTTCGGCTTATTTTTTCAGCGAAACGAATGGGGCCTATGCAGTCTCCAAAAAGGTATACACTCATGCACGGATTCGTATGTGACTGATGTTTGCCGAAAATGTCGACAATGAAACAAACTCGCCAAAATTAAACCACATATTGCAACAAGATAATTAAATATGCAGATCGTGTGTCAGTGTAGACCGGAATTTCTTCTTGTCTTGCTACCTAAGAACACGCAATGGGGGCATGTGTATCAGACAGATATCCACTAGCAAGTGCAGAAGTACTCTTCTTCAATTATTTAGCAGAAGCAATGATTTAATATATGGTATCTGAAAACCAATAGAGAAAAAGCAGGCTCAGAATCTTGCAGGTTGTATTTTGGGTGGACCTGAAATAATGATATTCTCCCCTTTTTGAATTTTTCTAACCTATATCTTTCTGTTGGTCTTTACGACTTTTTTGGCGTCAACTAGGATTGACCAAGCATAATGTCATATTTCTTTCCTAGTATCATTTTGGATACACTTGAAGTGACAAAGTTTATACAAAAAGAATATCATCATTTATGATACATAAGTCATGAAACATATTTATTTTTTATTCGGGGTCCTAAATGCTAATAGTACCATTCTCTATAAACTTAAGGGACTGTTCGACAAGACTTATTGCTGCTGCGGCTGATTTGTAGGGCTGATTTATTGTGAGAGAAAAACACTGTTTCATGACTGAAAAAGTAGGCCTGATTGTAGCTTATAAGCTCAAGCGAACAGAGCCTTTAGTCAACATAGGATAACTTGAATCTGTACAAATCTGTAATAATTTTTTTGGGAACAGAAGGAGTAATAATTAATAAGAAATGATCATCAAGACCCTATTAAATAAGTAAGATATCAATTTTATTATTCTTTCAAAGCATTTAATTGAGGGCAGTGACCAGTGAGTGAACATATGGCAATACATACACTCTAGACTATATATATCAATGAACAAACATTATGCAATGAAACCTCATGAGGCCATGAACAAATATAGCAAAATATGAGGGAGTAGAAGCAATAATTTATAGTATCTCGTATCATATGTGTAAAAAGAATATGCGGCTTCCTAATGATGACAAACACGTTTGCTGCCGTTTGGATTTTGGGTTGAACCGGAGACGATAGAAATCCCCACCTTTCTTGAATCTTTCCAACCTCTCTTTTCCGTTTGCTGTTTACTCTTAGCGTGTCAACGAGGATTGACAATACTACCACAATACGCGATTTCATGTTATTGTTTAGTCATTTTCATCCTCTCAATTGGAGGAAAAGTTAGAAGAAAGGAACATATTTTACAACTGAAATTATTGTTAGGTAAAATATAACTAATATTGTTTTATTTTTCCGAAACGAATAGGGATGAGGAGAATATGTGACCACTACTGGATGTGGTGACACCAAATCTTTGAGCAACTTCACCAAATCTTTGAGCAACTTTTGTGATTGAGTTGGCATTTGCAAATGAAATATCCTCCGATCCATAAACAAATATTAATCCTTTCAGCAATTAATCACATGATGTTTTTTTTTCCTTTTATCAGGTTGTGTTGCATGTAGATGTGCCTCTCCTAACAGTGATTTGTATGTAGGTAGGGCTAGGCCTGGTATATATATATAAAAAAAGGTTTGGTCAGGCGCAATGAAAGTGACGTATGTAAGCCCCTCATATATCACAGTCACTCATTCAATCATTCATTCCTTAGTCCACATCATCGCCGACCAAGTCGAAATTTATGATATAACGTTGGCAATTCAACCAAGGAACAACAAACTGTCCAAACGACAAGATAGAAAAAAAAACAAAGCAAATGGAAACTGTCGCGGTTTGGTTTGAACTTGCGTATG